CATCTGTCAACCCTTCTCTTACATTTCATGTCCCTGTCTTCATTTGTGGTTATGAATGCTCATTTTTAGTTGATACTGGTGCTGCTGTTACCTTGATAGCATCTTCTATCTGGGAAAGGTACTGTGCTTCTTCATTCAAGTTATTAGAAGAAGTGCCACACCAGTTAGTCAATGTCACAGGGAACCCCTTGCAAGTTCGAGGATCAGCTCAGTTGACACTAACTATAGGTGAGAACTCCTTTCATACCATAGTTATAATTGTGGATCACCTTGCAGAACATGGCATTATTGATTTGGATTTCCTGAGAACACATTTGTGTACCATCGATTGCAAATCTGAAGTTCTACACTTTCCTGTGGTGCAGCAAACCATACCATTACAGCCTGAAGGATCAGATGTCAGAATACAAGCAGTACTCGAGAGCACTGTTAAGATACCACCACAATCAGAAGTGGAAGTGTTTGTACTGGCAAACAATTTTGAACAGCAAAGGGGTACGTGGTTACTAGAGGATAATTTGGCTCAATCCCGTCAGCAGGCAATTACAGCTCGGTCCATTGTACTTCCAAAGAAGCGCTTGGTTACACGCCTCATTAACCCCATCGCTAGTACGTAAGGGTACTAAGATAGCTTCTTTAAGTCAGTTACCTCATGATTCCTTTGTTTCAAAGAATGTTCTTCCGCTATTGCCTAAAGAGGTCTCAGAAGTCAAGCACAAAAAAAGGTGTGGCACACTAGGAAAAATGGCTGCAGAAGGTAAGATTTGTAAAAAAATATACCAACTAATGGCAAATCTGAACAAATTCTCAAAAGTTTATTCCTCCATTGATTTACAATGATGCCAATACTTCTCATAACTTTTGGAAGTCTACTCACAAAATTCTGGCAGCATCTAAAGTGTCATAATGTAACTACAGGGAAAAAGGTTGGCAAAGAGAATCCTCAGAGTATCGAGTTGACTCCAGAAAAACATGACTTGAGTGAACCACTAAAAGTCTCCCTTCAAACAATGAACTATGCTGCACCCATGTGCAATTTACTGTATATCATTCTATATCTGTACAAATTACAATGAAATGGAAACCTTGTGTTGTTTAATCATTTAAATGGTACAGAAATGCAACGCTTAGTATTGTAAAATGAGTCGTTTCGTATTCGTTTCACTTATGTAAAAATTAAACTTTTTTGTCTCATATACTATATACATGTAATAATAATACATCTTATACAAAAATAAAGACTTTTGGAGGGAGCCCATAGGATATGTCGCATACACTACTGAACACATATCTTCCAATTAATATTGTGATTGGCATCAAAAGAACTATAGCTAATGGATAAAACGTCGCAGCAGGTGACAACTTCAACCCAAAGACAATAGTAATTTTAAAAAATTGCAATAAAGTATCAAGGTTCCATCTCTAAGTCTAAAGCTTCTGAACATAATAAATATCAGGATGATGCTTGTAGCCCTTGGGCATGCAGAAACACATCCTTGTACACCCACTTTAAGGTCTTAAAAACCTATTTAGTATGTACATGTACCTATAGAACTACTCTTACCTTACTCCAATATATAATAGGTACAGGATAACCCACAACACGACAATCAAGATACAACCTTTCACCACTCTCTGAACTGACACAGGTATGAGAGACTTCGAGGGTTACTGGACTGTGAATTTTCCCTAGGAAGAAAACATACTTCAATAATATAATACTAACATAAATAGATACAAAAAAATTTTGTGGCTAAATTAATTAGCACATTTCATTAGCAAAACACCTTTTAACATTTTAAAAAGAGAGACATGTACTGGGTTAAGTTGATTGCCAGCAATGATTGTAAGCCAGTATGTTTTACATGTACAGTACTATTTGTGTGTTCAAACAATAACTCTTCCTTCTCATACTCCAAAAATAAAACTTTTTTTCAATATGGAGCTAAAGTGGTAGGTACAGTAGCTTCATTCCTAAAGTTTGCTCTTTAACAGGTGTTTTCACATAGCCTTGTACATGTACATGTACATCTTTCAAACGCCCTTGAATGGCCTTTGTGCCACATCTTAACTTTCTTTCTCTGTTATTAACACGGTTTCCCAACAAAGCATCCTACATGTACATGCACATGTAAGTACGTTAAACAGCATACTTCATGAGCTGACAAGCACTACAATACAGCTAGTACATGGCATTTAGAGCAAATTTTAAAATTCATAATAATCGAAATTTGATTGGATTCAGCTCAAAGTTGATACACAACATAAAATACCTTATAGCAGAAAATTTTTGGGCCCAATAATTTCGCTAATATGTTCAAAAATCAATTTCGTGGCTTTAATTTTCGTGGTTTTCTACTTTTCCACCATCTTGAACCGTATTAAATCAATTTTCACAGATTTTATTTTCGTGGATTTAAAAAAAAAACGCAAAATCCACAAAAAATTTCGGACCACAAAAATTTTCCACTATACGGTATACATGTATAAGGACATGTAAATGTACATGTATGTACATCAGGGTTGGGGTTAAGCACTGACTCAAATGTTTAAGCATAAGCATAAGCACTTTGAAAAGGGCTTAAAGCATAACCATTTTTAATAGCTTCTGTGATTAGAGTCTTTAAGCACAAGCATTTTTACAAGTGCTTCAAGCTCTACTTCAAGCATTTCTGTAATAGCAATGTATATGAAGTATACTAATAAACAAGTTGATTCCTCATCTAAAGATCTTTTTGCTCAGCCAAACAACCTCTTTATGGGTGCTGATGCTAAGTAACTATATTAATACACAACTGTAATTTTATAGTTACATGTTAAATTAGAATAACCAAAATTTTATGTACTCATTGTGCTATAAACTCAAAATAGTGCTTAATGCTTGAAAGTGTGCTTATAAGCACTACCAAAGCAAAATGCTTAAGAATAAGCTCAAGCATTTGTGCTTTAATGAGATTAAGTGCTTGAAAGCATTGCAAGCACTTGTAAAAATGTGCGTAGAGCACTTTTAAGCACAAGCACTCAAGTGATTGCCCCATCCCTGATGTACGTACATGCATGTACATGTATCAGAAAAAAAAATATAATAATGGAGAGTTCTCTCCTAGCCATTTTGATGAAAGTTGTGTTGGCCGGATTGTTGGCCTAATTTTTGAGCAACTTAAAAAATTCATTAAAACTCCACAATTGATCAGAATCAGCTCAACATTAATACAAAACATAAGGACTTGTATACTGTACTTGTGGGAATTAGAATAAAAACAATATAAAAAGGAGAATTCTCTCCTAGCCATTTTTGACAACAGACCATGTAGATGTTACTATACATGTACATGTAGTACAAGGACTTTGGTAGATTTTTGAGGACTTTACAAATTTAATTTTGACTGGAATCCTCTCAAAAGGATGTGTATGGGTATCAGAAAAATTATGAGAATAAAAAAGTATCTCCTAACTATATTTTCGACAAATTTTAGAAACTGGCTTGGTTTTGAGCAACTTTAAAAGTTCATAAAAAATAAAATTTTAATCAGAATCATTTAAATAATCAATTCAAAGTTAATACACAACATAAGGACAAGTATGTGCATAATTATGCATCAAAACTCATAAAACATAAAAATGGGATTCTTGTTGAAATGCCCTGTATTACAGCACAGTGTCTTTGGCCTAAATTTTGAGCAACTTGACAATCCACTAACAAGGTGTTGCATTAAGCACTATGCTAAAACCCTGTGGAAAACCCTTGTTATTCAAATAGTCGATATACTCATAAAGACTTCAAACATGTGCAAGTTCGCTATTTTTTTCTCAGGCTATCAAACAGAAAGTATATACACGTAAATGACAGGACAGGTACAGTAAATGTACTTTAAATTCCTCAATTATCAATAACTAACTACCATGTTTCTCATAATTTTAATTTCTTCGGAAACAATGATGACATTATGCTATGCAAAAAGCTACCTTAAACTATGGTTATAACATCTTGAATCACAATTATTACATGTACTGGAAAACATATGAACATTCAACTCATGCCATATAACAACATGTACACGTACATGTAAATGTAACTTTGTCACAATTAGTCAATAGTCTAGTCATGCACAGACTTCACAATACAGTGCAATCAATAATAACTAGAGTCACAATAATGCTTATTATTTATAAACATACTTTGTTTTTCTTCCTCAGTCCAATACACTTCTTCTGCAATTATATCTTGCACAACGAGTTTACTTTCAAGGCCCCTTGGTTCTCTGGTCTCTCTATCAAAATGAGCCTCCTCACTAGCTGGTCCCAATACTTTTGGACACTTGCTAGTTTTCTGTGCAACAGACTGAGGCCATTTCAACTCTAAAAAGATGCAATAGAATATGTTACATAAAATGTGTTGACAGAAAACAATATAATTCTTAATTTTGACAAGAGTAGATTCTGACAATAATAGCACCAAGTAATTGCTTTACTTACTCTAGCTGCAATTATCTGTTACAATTAAAAGAGTACATGCATTTACATTGTTTATGTAATGTATCTTTTTCTAACAAGATGCAACTACATATAGTAAATGTGTACATGGAAGTATACATGTACATGTATATGTGTAAGTACTCTTATAGCATTGTAGTAAATATTTGTTCATGTAACTAACAGAGACTCCACAAAAATTAATATGACTCATTAAAAGACTGGAGAAGCAGCTAGAAGTACAGGCACCCCTACACTACATGTACAAGACTTGCTTAAAAGTTTAATGTTATGCTAAACCATAACATGTACAAATACATGTACATGTACATGTAGTTATGTACATGCATCTGCTTTTGTGTGATAGAAAGGTTGCTGGTTAAACTTATAGTTTGATTATAAGAATTGTAAGTCAAGAACCAAACAACATGTGTACATGTACACGTGAGTGTAAAACCACAATACATTAAAGTATACAGGTACAAATGCATGAGGCAGTGACAGCAATTACATGTAAACCAATGACCCATAATTTAAAAGAATAATGAAAGAACACATACTGACTATATGACATTTTACATATAACAACATACCAATATATATTCTGGCAGAATTCTTTCCAGCTTTATTCATTGCAACACAATCATAATAGCCATCAGAATCCAACGAAACATCTCTTATAGCTAGACTACCATTGCCATAAGGAAAATAATTCCCTTTCCATCTTGCACCTAATAAAATAAATATTGGTAAAAAAGCAATAGATACACAAACATAAAATAATAAATAATATGAAGAACAAAAATTAAGAAAATACATGTCCCGTTCTCAGAGTGAAGTAGAAATTTATACCGTAATTACAAATTAAGCATGAACCCACTACTGTACAAATATTAGCACATGTATTTGTACTTGAGGAAAGCCCCAGAAAGCTTTACAAACTGGTCACATTTAAATTAAGTAAGAGAAATACATGTACTACATGTATTATGTGACATGCTTAGCTTTTCAAACTAGAGCTATTGAAATCATGCAAAATGAAGACAACTTGTCAGAGGAGGATATCTTAGTGTTTCCTTTCTCTCCTTTACTAGTGTTCATTTTCATGTCTTATTCTATTATTCTTATTTCTCTGTTTGTTAATTCATTATCAGAAAAAAACTCATAGTACATAATAGGGGTTTTTAATTTTATAAATGCCCAAATCTATTGTTAAAGTCAAATTCTAAACACCTGCTACATGTATCTTGTACCATATGGTATCACAACATACAAGTATGTGCAGCACAGCAAGCAGAGGGCCACTGGATGCAGAGGCACATGTACATGTGCATATACATTACTACTTAATGGTACATACATGTACATGTAGATGTATTTATTTAATTGACACACAATAAAATCATTTCACACAAAAACACTGCATGTCTATACCTGTCTTCCATTTAGTGATGTAACGGCCATTCTTATACCAAAAGATTTTTGTGATGATACCAGATAAATTGCATGAAAGAACACCAGTGTGACCAATGGTTAGAGACTGATTAGGACTGGCAGTTACATCAGGAGGAACTAATTAACAGATAAGAGGGATAGCAATATAAAAATTAAAAACATACCGTATAGGGGGTATAATTCCCAGGGACAATATTTCATGAAAATCACCATTCGACCTATTCACAGGAAAAATTTTTGTGTTTTTCTTCTACTGACAATTTCTAGTATGGTAAAAAATAATTTTAATAGATAAAAATTTTCACTAGTTTTTTTAAAACTGTGACATTAGCGAAATTAAATCCCCGTGAAATACACATCTTATACGGTCATAACATTTTCACAGAAAGAATTTAAAAAATAATTTCATTACCCCATAATGTTGCTGAAGCACTTAGGTTTGCCGTGCAAGTACAAAAGCAGCAAGCACATGAGTAGACTCCACTATCTACTCCAGTTAGAGGATATCCAATACGCAATTTCTCCTTTGTCATGTTATACTTGGCACTGTTGCACAATCGTCTCTCATCTTTATACCAATGAATCTATTGAAATAAAAAAGGATATCATTAATTGAACATACATTGATTCCACAAAATACAATGTAAATAAATTACTAAAGCAAATTGTATGCTCATGCACATGCTATTGAAACTAAAATATTATTGCAGGTTACACGTCTCAATAGTGAAAATGTTCCTTTCAGATACACATGTACGCCACAAAATATAATACACAATTACAGCTACATGTAGTTATACCACCAATACCAGAAAGGCATTTAAATTATTCCAATGATAACCTTCTATAGACAATTACACAAAATTGCTTCAGCAAGTATGGTACCATAAATGTATGCTCAGAGAAATCTCATTAAATCATTGATTGTTTTGCTACATGTACATACAAAAAAATTCTAATCATTCTTTACAGTAAAATGTAACTGTTAGAAATAAACTGCAACAAATTGAGCAATGACTACTCATGCTTGCTTCAACTCATGCTGGCTTCAATTTCTCAATACAAAAGTACCACAGACTACATGTATTAACAAGTCATAAATTTGCTCAAAATTTTTTACCTTTAAAATGATATACCAAATATCATACCTTTCAAAAGATATGCTAAAAATCAATGGGGATCTTGATGTGTGCATGTTCACAAATACTAAGCAAGGACATTTTTAATTTCTTTCATTTCCCACCAAGTACATTAATTACATGTATATACATGTGCATGTAGATGTAGGTCATTTTCGTAATTTGTAGGTCTAATATTCCATCAATATTACAAAATATTCTAAGGTTGCTCTAAGTCTAGGTGACAGTATCTATAGTTGCAGTATAGAGTGATAGTAAGCAGCTATTGTTAGCATGCACTAAGCAGTAGGCATGGGCCAAATATTTTTTTTTTTTACTTATTATTCTATTCCTTAACTCCTACAATATCTACCTATTATTCTTAATATTATTCACAATTAAAAAGTTAAAATATCAATTTATGGTTAAAAATGACATTCTGTCTATAGTGTTATACTGTGCCATAATGTTAGATGCAATAAAGTCTGTTTGTTGTTGGCATTTCAATTAATGATTGAGGTATAAAAAGTCTCTCAGATGTAACCAACACATGCTCATCTTCTGCATCTATTTTTGTTAAAAATTTAACCAGTCCCTACTCTCTCCCACTAATGCATCCTATTACTCTCAAATTATTCTTCATTGGTTTTGCATCTATTATTCTTTAAATTATTCCGGAATATTTACCTAAGCCTTACTAAGCAGCTATTGTGATTACAATACTATTATTTTAATTACCATGATATTTATCATGTGTACATGGAGCATGCACATTTTAACAATTTATAGCTGAAGCTTGATCATCTTCTAACTAAAGGCAACTTCTACCACTAGAGAGGTTGTGAGTAATAAGGAAGGTATCCTTTACTAGTACAGCTTGCTTCATGGTTTCTCACAGCCCCTGCTACATCAGATACATGATGTGAACAAGTTTTCAGTATAGCAGGATAGTGTTCCATGAACTTTGCATTAAGTACTAGTACATGTATAATGTCATTTTACAAATTGTTATTGCATGCATTGCTTCATTGTAAATCACTGTATTTCCTCGTGTGAATAAAATGGCTAAACTATGATGAAATGTTCATTATTGTGATATTAGAGTTAGTAAATATCTTAACAGTGATATTACTACAACTGCCTAAAGGCGGATTTACAATATTACGCTAGTCCTGACGTTACGTTGACGCTGGAATAGAATCTGGTTCTATTCCAGCGGAAAGCATGCGTCAAAAGGTCAAATCGCCCACGCTTTTGATTAAAAATTGACGGTACGCTGGCCTAATGTCATATTGTAAATCCGCCTTAAGTCTGATTTGCTCCCAGTGGCAATTGTTGTTTTAATTTTCGTGGTTGACAGTTTAGTATATATAGTTCACAAGAGAATGGCACTTTTAATGATTCCATGGGTTTAAAGTTCATGGCAGGCCCCAAAACCACGAAAACCATAAAAATTAAGCACCATGCAATACTGTATAATACTGTCAATTCCCCTAGCCATTATTATCGTCTCAGTAATAACTACAAACATTCAATTTAAACAAAATCACATCAGTCTCCAAAACTTCTCTTGGCTCTCTATCTTCGATTTCTCGTTCAACTCATTTTACATTTAATATTTTGAGATTCACAAAATAATACAGTATATATATATATATATATATATATATATATATATATATATATATATTATATATATATTATACATACTGTACAAAATGATTTTTCCCACTTTATGCATTAATCTAATCCCTTTTCAACCAATATCCATGATGTACTCAATACTGATTCATACAAAGGGAGCCCACCCTACCCACTTAGGAAAACATTAATAGGTAGCCAATAATATACCTGACACCATAGGTAGTGATGACACGCTGGTCTTTCCACGTTTTCTTCGTGGCCTTCTTCTGTTTTCTTGCCACAGGTGAGCCAAACATAATCCATTGTCTTCTGAACCACAACTACATTCGGAGTCACTACAAGAGAATAGTTCTCGCACTGGCCGAAATGAAACAGCACTGTAAGTACAGTGGCAAAGAATAGCTGCCACATGTCACCAGTGCCTCGTCCACGTGGCCAAAAGAAGAGAGAGCAAGCTGCAAGGCGTAACATAATCGATTAATTAAAATTATGAGCCACACCCACTTAATTGAAATGAAATAAAATTGGTGGAATTTTATTATCATGTTAAACCATTTAGAAATCTTTCTGTTTCCATATAATGTTAACTGCCATTTCTGACAATATTTCTTCAAGCTCCACCTGTTCTCCACTTTTCGAGCAGTCAAACACTTCAATTTCTTTTAATTTGCCAACACCAAATTTTTTCCACATATCCAAGATTGTTCTAACAAAATCTTCAGTAAAAAGATGGACAGAGAGAGCTAATTTAAAGTACGGAGTTGCAGTAAATGGAGAGAGCAACTTGAAAATTGCTTCAAGAAGAAACAACAAATTCTCTAATGGCCCATCAAAATAATAATTTTGCAATGTAAAACTCATCAGTGAACCTTTAATTCCTGAAAAGGCAATAAGAAACTTGTCAACCGTGTTTTGACTTTCATCATCAATTGCAACAGATAGTACCCACTTTTGTGCATTCACATCACGAAACAAACGGCATATATCGTCAATATTATCTTTACCAATAATATGGGAAGTGACAAGAGTAAGTTCATCCACGCTAACTGACTCCAAGTTACCGAACAACTGATAAACATTGTCATCATTTCCTTCCAGCTTAAGTGACTTTAGAGACAGGTGCTGAGGAATGAGAGAAGTAAAATTAACAGAGAGAGCACAGTTTAGCAAATTAAGACTCTTCAACGATGATTGTTCAGGTTTGACAGTAAGAGGTTCGGATATTGGATCAAACTTAGGGCAAGAAACAAAAATCATTGTAAAACTCACTGGATGTGGAGAGGAAAAAAACTGGCCCAGAAGATTCTGCAGAATATAAAATGAAATAGTTCCTCGAAGACGAAAACTATTAAAAGTCAGTTGCTTAAATGATGATCGAAAAAATAATTCCCCCATGTATCGTGTAACCTCACTTTCCATAAAGAGGCACCGACTAAAATCATTATCTGATGATGTAATGCCAAATTCAAACAGCTCCAATTCTTGATGACATTGAAGCACTTCTTGAAGAAGAGGTGAGATAGATTTAGAAAGTCTGACATGCTTAAAACTGCCCGAAATATTAATATTCTCCTCTACTAGCTCCTGCTCCAACGTAATAGATATCTCTAACTGCTTTAAATTACTCTGATGAGAGCCTCCTAAATATGGTAGTACTATATCAAATTGATCCTGTATCAACACACTCCTAATAGAACATTTATTCTGCACAAATATAACCTTCAAAGCATTTGCAATGCTCTTCCTTGCTTCTTCTATGTCACAAGAGTATAAAGTAGCGAATTGGTATATACTGATAGACTCAATTGACGTAGCACACTTTGAAATTTTGCCACAAAAATTGTCATCACTCAAAAAAGGAGCCAACAGTCTTAAATGCACTGGAGAAAAGGAAATATGCTTCAAAGATATTTGACTCTGAACCATAGTGTGGATTACATCCCCCAACGAAACACCAGAAGAATATTTATGATTGTATCTTAAAGTAGTAAGACTACGACAACGTTGATTGCATCGATAAATATTATGAATTCGAAGAGTTTTTCTCCTACTAAAGCACTGGTACAAGTCTGGAGTTTTTCTAATACCAAAAAGGAGATCAAAAAGAAAGTGATCGTAGTGAACACACTTGCAATTCTTATCCATTAATTTAGACGACTGAAAATGATACACTTGTGCAAAAGAGAATAGAGAGTTGAAATATGCCTCCCTCCAACTGACTGACTCAATTCTTTTACTTTGTTCTAATTCTTCTGGTGTATCAAAACCAGGCACAAAACATCTAACCTCATCCTTCCTGTCCCATGGCATCCTCTCCTTGTACAATGTCTCCCAAATCTCATCCATTGATATATCTCTAGTCGATGATGTACCTTCCAATTTAGCAACATCCGCTGCTGGTAAAAGGAGGATTATTTTAGCACGTACCACATGAGGCAGAAAAGCAAGATTACTGGTAGGTATACCTTCAATTTTTTGCCACCAGTCTTCAAGAAACAAATGGCCCATGATGTACAGCAAACACTGTGTATAAAGTGGAGCTGGATGAGAGAATGTTCCAGGTCTGAGCTTTTCCTTGGCATTCATATCATAGATATTATAATTAGAGTAAATATCTATGTTGTGGCTCCGCCCTGGCCCCGCCTCTGTGATGTTCAGCTAGCTAAGGAGGGGTCTTCTTCTTCTTATAATTTATAGCCTCCTCTTTTGAGGAGAGTATCACCTTAGTTATGGGGTGTGAACAGTGCCAAAACATATAAGTATTATATAGACAGCTTTCTCTGCCATTGGATACATGCTATAGATATACATACATATATGGATGCACCATTATACATACTAAAATGATAGTTTGTACAGATATTGATACATCTATGGCATATCTTCACGTCATTATAGACATAGATATGTTATAGATCATCATGATCAACCCCGCCTATAGTAGGCGTGTCTCCTGTCAAGAAATTAAAGCTAAGAAGATGACTATGAAGATAACTAGCAAGTTTACTAGTCTCGCTAGCCAGACCATTCCCCAGCCTAATGACTGTAGGCTGGGGAATGGTCTGGCTAGCGAGACTACTCTCCAGACCCTCTGTGCTGGTGTGGTGAGTATGGATCGGTCATTACCGTGGTTGGAGAAAGTTGCCATGGTTACTCAGCTTAAATGCAAAATTGCAGCATCAAAATCTATGCTCGCTCAGACAGTGTCAGTCTTTGCACATAGCTACTCCAAATGATGAAATACTTAGCATGGCTGCAGATATATAACTTGTTTAGAAAATGCAACAAAAAGTGTTAAACGAACTAGACACTGTGCTAAAAGCATGATTTCAACACCCACGCAATAGGCTGGGAAGGTTTTAAGCAGCTAAAACTCAAGAATTTTAAAGCTAAAATTCTTTATTCTTGCTCAAAAAGTTTTTTATTAGTATAAGCTATGTTTTTGAGTAAAACAAAGGCAAATAAAAGTTTTGGCTTGAAAATCTCTATTTCAGCATGATTTCAGGTGTTGCTGGCCTCTAAACCTATTATACCTTTACTAGGCTAGAAACAAAGAATTCCCAAGTTTCATATCAAATTGTTAAAACTGGACTTATATCTATTCATACATTACTTTATAATGGTATAAAATTCTAAGTGGGAAAATTAGTGAATTTTGGTCCAAAATCAAGGAGCTTTAGCTGCTTAAAACCCTTCCACACCCATTGCGTGGGTGTTGAAATCATGCTTTTAGCTCTGTATCTCATTCATTTTGAACACTCTTTTAGTGAAATATTTTCATAAAATATTTTAAAATATAGCCTGCACCTATGTTAACCATTCAAGTCATTGGAGCAGGGATTGTGCGTTATTTTCACCACTGAGTTAAAAATTAAAAATAAAATTCCTGTTTTTTGCCAAAAGTATAACTTTATTGGACTTATATCTATTCATACATTACTTTATGATAGTATAAAATTTTTAGTGGGAAAGTTAGTGAGTTTTGGTTCAAGATCCCGGATTTTTAGCTGCTTAAAACCCATCCACACCCATTGCGTGGGTGTTGAAATCATGCTTTTAGCTCCGTATCTCATTCATTTTGAACAATTTTTTAGTGGAATATTTTACAAAATATAACCTACACCTATGCTAACCATTCAAGTAATTGGAGCAGGGATTGTACGTTCTTTTCACCAGTTAAAAATCAAAAAATAAAATTTCTGGTTTTTTGTCAAAAGTATAGCTTTATGTCATTACAAAACTTTCTGTGGCAAATTAGCCAATTTTGATGCAAAGAACCTGAGTTTTAGCTGGTAAAAACTCAGCTCCGCCCCATTGAGTGGGTAGTAATTTTATTAACAAGCATTGGTGGGCTGTGGCCTATAGCCTGGTCAAATACTGAGCCATGCCTTGAGTGGGCGTTGAATTTTGCTGTTTTGGCTTGGCATCACTTTTGAGCTACAATTTTCACAAATCAAATGCTTCACACCACTACTAGCTGTTCAAATTGGCACTGATTGTTTTAGACATGTTCAGTGAAGATTATTTATCTAATCCAAAATTAATTTTTGTCATAAATGCTAACAAAATAATTCACATGTCAATAAGAGCATTAAAGCATATATACTGCAAATACACATAGTGTGACCAAAATAGGACCAGCTATAATTACTTAATACAACAAAGGCTGTGTCTACAGCTCCGGTAACCGGACGTAGTTTGCAATGCTAGAGCTCCGGCAGTCCGTTTTTCTCCGTAAAACAGCTTGTGCGCATGCGCAATAGTGCAAAATGGAACTTAGTCTTTTTATCAAGAAACCCTAAACCCTAACCCCAAAACCCTACGATCCCGGAGGCTAAGATGTACGAGAGGGTGCTCTAAAAACTAAACACTAAACCCCAATCCCAACCCTACGACCCCGGAGGCTAAGATGTACGAGAGGGTGCTCTAAAAACTAAACACTAAACCCCAATCCCAACCCTACGACCCCGGAGGCTAAGATGTACGAGAGGGTGCTATTTCTTGACCCAAAAAAAAGCCAAAAAGAAAAAAATTGCAAAAAAGACATTTTAAAAAAGAAAAAAAAAATCAAAAACTGCAGCATAGTTTTACTCGGTAGTCCTGACCGGATTCGAACCCCTGACCCTATCCGTGCAATCCACACCAGCCTCTCCACTGCACCACCACGACCCTGCTGCATCATCAACGCTGGTTGTTGTATTTATACTCGGTTTCTATAATATAAATCAGTGTATTATTAATACTGCACTGGGGCGTAGCCCCAGTATTTATATAGGGGCGACGCCCCTATTACCGGAGCTCTAGCACTGCATACTGTGTCCGGTTACCGGAGCTCTAGACACTTCCTATATTTTATCATAAACTTTATACTATGGCTAAGCTAAACTGGCTGCTATTACTACACAATAACTATTAAAATAAAATCATTGAGTCAATGTATAACTTGCTCTGCTCTACTTGGCACTGAGAGAAAGGAATTCTAAAAACACACCAAATAAATGCAAATAATACAATAATTGTGGTTGTACAATTCACCTGTAAAGCTGATCTTGCCATCTTTGTTTTCATCTATAGAATCTATGAGG